AAGACATGGACCTAAGTTTAGAGATCAAAACTCGATATTTTAAATTTCAGTAAACAATTAAAGACATAAACTTAAGTTCAATGACCATTGGAACAATTAACTCTTGATATTTCTTCATTTTTCTAATTTATTTTTTTAAGTACTTTTTTGTTGATTCTAAAAAAATATCTTTCAGTTGGACATGCAACTGCTCAAACTGGGTCGAAATGAATGAAAGAGTTGAACCTAAACCGGCACTAAGTGAGACTGACAACAATATTTTTTAGGAGATCGGTGGTGCAATTTTCTTCTAATCATTTAGTTGCGTTTGATTTACTGTTTTCAAATTGTTTTTAATTTTAAATTTTGTAAAATACTAAAAACACGTTTGATCTAATTTTTTTTTTTAAAACGCAATTTTGACGTTTTGAATATTTTCAGTGAAAATTCTGAAAATACTAAAAAGAAAAACAAGCATTTAAATAAATTTCGAAAATTAAAAATTTTAAAAATATAAATATAAAATTTTAAAATTAAAAATTTAAAATTCAAGAAATAAAATACATAAACCCAGATCAATCCAACCATATTTCGTCGCTTGCCACCACCATCCGCTCATTAATGATGGTATTAGATACTCAACTCTGGGAGAAGCTTCTTATTTCCGTAATGGAGAAGCTTATCCTGGTTCGCAGACCGTTTGTTGGACGATTCAAAACCCATTTTAATGGCGGCCCCATATAGTGAAATTTGGAAAGAGCTTTGCATTTCCATAATTGAGAAACTTATCCAAGCTTATAGATCGTTTCTTGGACATTTCGGAGCCATATTTAGAGTTGGAGGCACCTTGAGAATTATATTAGATACTCAGTCAATGACCTTGAGAATTTAGTCTTGGATTTCTTTAAGGGGCATCTTGTTTCCTAACGTTTGAGGAGATCTGAGTTATTTTTAACACTTTAGACAATTATTGGTCATCTAAGATATGGAAGAGGGTGATGAGTTTGGTGGGGCAATGGAGTGCAATGATGGTTGACTAACCGACGACGTCCTGATTTCCAACAAGGAGGAGGCAAATGGGTTGAATGTGAATAAGCCGTGTCAGTCATACTGAGGATAAGGTGATTGAAATGAGAGGGGTTGACAGATACCTAGTCAAGTATAACTATTTTAGAAGGATCAAAAATAAGGGAGAAAGAGAGGACATCAACAAAATTTGTTAATAGGCAGGCTGAGGTGAACGAAAAAACTGTTACAGTAGGCTTATAAATAGAATAAGGGATATGTAATAAGGAGTATACAAAATAGTGAATGAAGTCATATTGTGGAGAGTTATAGTCCTCTCGAATAGTTCATTGTATTTCTTTTCTTATTATAATTCAGAATTCAATCAATACAGAAATCTAATTTATGTCATGTTCATTTGTTTTAAGGCCTTGTTTGAGCCACATTATTTGAAAAAATTATATTTTTCAACAGCGATTTGATATTATTTCAATCACACGTTCTTTAGTCAAATAATATTACACGCAAATTCAAACCATTTCCTAATTTTTTAACCACACATTTCTCATCAATATACTATTAAAAATTTATTTTCATTCCAATAACGTGGCTCAAACAAGGGCTAAATCCATAGGCGGTACTTATCGGTATACTTTACAATTAATTGAAAGGTTTGAATGCAATTTTCCCATAAATATATTATTGTTCAAACTCTCAATTATCATCAAAATACAATTAAATGCTCATATTTATAATAATTGTAGGAACAAATTAGTTAATGTGTATACATGTATTGTACTAATATATTTATGTGTAGATGAAATAATCACCAAATCTTAGATCCATTTTTTTATGGCTAATTATATTCGCAACACAATTTTTATTTTTTGCACCATATTTTTATTGCAATCGAGGTTCATAATCTTTGCTCATTATAACACGTATACCCCTAACGATTTTTATATCATTCTCCTCCTCAATCTTTCAATTAGTTAATATATTTTGTAACTTATAACATATTTATGTTCAAAAATTCTTTGAAATGGCATAAAATAACTTATTTTTCCATCATATTTTGAATAAATAATTAAATAAAAAGTGCTAAAAAATATTTCCTTATTATAAAATATGAAAACAAAATATTTTGATATAAATCATCATCAAATACGAGACGTACTAATTAATGGAATGTTAAAGATGAGAATTCAATGAAATAAATTTAGGGAAACAATTGTTACAGTGAACAAATATGGATGAGTTTGACTGTAATTAAAATATGGTGTATCAAATAAAAATTATGGTGATAATATAATCACTATTTTCTTATTCAAAGTTCATTAAGAGATATTAATGTGGAGTATCGATATTTGAAAAATCATTATACAAACATACTCATCAATTTATTAATAAGAAGTAGAAAAGTGTGCCTTGAGTTTGCTCCTCAATGGTTACTAGTTCGAGTCTCCTCAGTGCCAATGAGGTGAGTACCAAACTGTAAATTTCAGGGCCCTGTGGAATTAGTCGAGGTACGCATGAGTTGACCCGGACACCCATGATCATAAAAAAAAAGGGTAGAAGAGTGTTACTCTAATAATCTAAGTATAGATATGAAAAAATTGTCTATAAAATGATTCTCATATCAT